ATATATATAGTCAATCTGACCAGTGGTTCAGAGCAGGGGGAACATAGAGCTGACCCCCAGACAAAAATCTTCCGCCTACGAACAGGATATGTACAGCTCAACTTCCACTCGAACAGAATAAAACTGAACTTCCCCCAATGTGTGCGACTATGCATATGAGATAGAATGTGAACCATCGCCTTTTCCGATGTACAGCCCTAAATGACATCAGAGCGCACCGAACATTGACACCACACTCTACCGAACATTACAGCAACTGGGGCAAACCCGCACCTATCACTATTGAACAGAAGGGCGAGAGCCCAACTGTTGCTGGGTCGATAACAACAACAACATAAACGAGAGTAATGAGAAAAAAGGGTGACGGTTTAATATAAAAAGGCAAAGGCAGAAGCGTGCCAGTTTGTAACCGGTCCAGTTTGTCACAGGCCTCGACTGAGCTTGTATAACGGAAGTTATCATTGACACTCTCAAAAAGAGTAGGCTAAATGAATGATTGTTGTAAGTTGATTTTTATTTTTCAATTGCTTTTAACGAAAGAAACATTCTTGGTTGAAATTTTACAGAGTAATTTGCTTTGATTTGAATATAAAAAGGAAGAAATATTGAAAAACACAAGCTGAATTGACAATTTAGAGGAAATATCTCTACACCACCACTTTGAAGGAGGAGAATAAAAATCTGAAGTTACAACTACAGCGCTAAATTGCTGTAATTATTACTGTCATCAATACTTAAATACTTAAATGAAATTTTGACAAACTGGGTCTGTGACAAACTGGGCCTATTACGAACTGGGCAGCCCCCAAGACAAAGCGATCAGATTAAACAAAAGAAGTGATGTAAACCAATAAAGAATAGTTCGGCTCTTGCTCTTGTTAGCGATTAGGCCATTTTGCTCGTGCGTATTTTTCTGAGCCACCTGATCATCCTATTCATAGTTTTCTTTCTTGATTTTACATACTCACTGCACCATATCCTTTTAAAAATCCGAGCAAGTTTTATATTTTTGTTATCATTTTTTAAAAGAAACCTAGTGAAGCATGATATAGCCTTTCGTTATCAAATGAAATAGAGGTGTTTTCCGCAGATCCTTGACGAGTTCGTATCCAACCAGGAAATATGGAGGTACCGAATTACAAAGATGTGAACGCAGACAGCCAACAACCACCACGAGAAGAAGATCATGTCACAGACAAAGACACAGAGCTAAGACTGGAACCCCTGCTCGTGGTAGACTCCCCAGATACTGACCATTACGTCACGGACGACTCTGGCTGTTGTGTCAGGGGCGTGGCCGCGGTAGAGCAGTGGGTGGGTGTGACGTATACCAAACACAGACGGGATATTCTGTTCGTTTTGAGATCTGTTTTGCTGCTGGTGTATCTCATGTATTTCGCTTACTGTATGAAAGTCAGGTTAGTGATTGTATGGCAAACTTACCTCGGCTTTCTTCAATGTGTGTGTGTGTGTGTGTGTGTGTGTGTGTGTGTGTGTGTGTGTGTGTGTGTGTGTGTGTGTGTGTGTGTGTGTGTGTGTGTTCGTGAGTATATAAAATCTAGTGGCGCTTAAAATAAACTTTAAAATATAATCATCCAACCATCGCGTTATAGTCTTGCACTACCCACTCACACAGCAAACCAATTTAAAATTAAATAAGTTCTTCTTCATCTGAGCCATTAATATTCCGTCTATGTTAAAAGATGCCCGAGATGTGGTCACTCAAATTTGACCTTTAAAAATCTGGCTTGGCAAAATTGTGCGAAATCAAAGAGACGTAAAGGTGTGCGCGCGAGTATATTGATGAGCATCAACATTGGTTGAATGGGCATGGGTCAAAATATCAAATGCAAAGAGAATTTTGTTGCTTGTGCAATGAACAGCATCTTCTTGAGATATTTTCAAGCAAATTGGAGAACAGAGCAATTACAAATGAAACTCAAAACCTGGACGTAACATGACATGTGCTCCTTAGATATTTTTTGTTTTCGTTTAGAAACTATTCGTTTCGCGTAGAGATCGAAAGCTTTTTTGCCAATGGACTGTGTGAGATAAATGTTGGACTTAATCATCTGTCAGTGACAAACACAAAACTAACATGGTTTTGAGTGGTCTAGAGTGGAATGAACAAAACCGCCTTCCTGAGAATCACCGGATGGCTTGATTTAGTGGACCACATGGTGCAAGTGCTGGAGTGGAACGTCATGTCTCACCCTCATTTTCTTCACGGTTTCATTCAAGTAGACATCCCCATGCATAGTAAAGCACTTTCTTACAGGGTCAATGCCCCTAGACAATTCTTGGAAAACGAAATTAAATTAACGTTTGTGTGGTCCCCAATAAATAGCCCCAATATGAATCCTGCATGCATGTAAAGTCCCATGAAACAGCAACTGAAGAAAAGCGACTTTGCTCCGATTTCAGACCCTTTCTTGGCAATTCTTTGTGATATTTTGGGATAAAATGACTACCAACGGCTCCAAAGCAAAATAACAATGAGCACACTTAAGTCCAATTTTTGCACGGTATTTGTGATTGCTCTGTTTTCCGTTTAGTTTAATATAATCGTAATGAAATATCGTAATGAAATATTGTTTATTAAAGAGACAAAATTCTCTATTTCTTGGATATGAATGTATATCCATTCTATCAATATTAAGAGGGGGGGGGGCTACACCCCCAAAGTCAAAGTTCGGCTCAAAATCATGGAATTTGAGTTGTAGGCATTTATTGCTTCCTCAGCCTCTCCTACAACTATTTCATAGCATAAGAACCCCCAAAAACCATATTTTTTCCAATACCGGGCATGTTTGTAACCGCCATTTCCTCATAAAGTCAGTATTTTATTTTTCTTTATCGGCCGTTTTCTCAAAATGCGACTTTTCTCTTCATCCAATCTTCATGAAATTTTCACAGAGTGAAGAAAAGAGATAATACTAAAAATTTGTCTGTTGAATTTTAGATAATATATGGAATAGATTTTTGTTGGTGGTGTCTTGAGTGTGGATTTTCACGGATTTTTCGCAAACCTGAAAAAATTCTTTAAAAATTTTCTAATTTGTTTAGGAAAAAAACAAGAGACAAATTTTTAGATCTGATGTTTGTGAACGCGCATGCAAAAAAAACAATCAATTTCCATGAGCGATAGGTGCTGTATTCATTACGTAAGACATGTCAATAAAATCCAATATGGCGGCGTATCCATGGAAACGAAACTTTTTTTTTCATATTTGATTTTAAGACTCCTTACTATGCTTGTTATATGTGTGAAATTTGGAAAAATTCGGTCCAGTAATAAGCGAGATAGCCTCCAGGTGTAGCCCCCCCCCCCCCCTTAATGGTCCGCAATACTTGCGCGAAGACAATTTTGCGTTTCTTTGATTACGCACAATTTTGCCAAGCCTGATTTTTAAAGGTTAATTTTGAATGCCCATATCTCATGTGTCCCTTAACATAGATGAATTATTAATGTACCATAATGATGCTTGCTTTATTTAGCTTTAAACTGATATGCTGCATGCGTGGGTAATGCAAGGCTTTGACATGATTATTGGGTGATTGCATGTTCAAGTTTCTTTTGGACGCCACTGTATGTATATCTATTATCTATTTGTGGTGGCCGAATTTTGCTATTCAAATGGCTTTTTAATGGCTGCATCGATCGACATGCGGTTTTCGCCAAAAAAAAATTCTTTAAAATATTCTCCAGAGCATGGCGCCCTTGGTTTTTTCAGTTTTGAGACAGTTTTGCAGCCAAAGCTAAATTTCTTTATTTCGCCGATCGCTTTTGTAGGCCTGCGCTTCTGTCTCTGTTTTTATATATATATATATATATATATATATATATATATATATATATATATATATATATATATATATATATATATGTGTGTATATATATATTTATGTGAGTGTGTGTGTGTGTGTGTGTGTGTGTGCGTGTGTGTCTGCGTGTGTGTTGTATCACAATCTCTTGCAAATCGCTTATATTAAAAACAAGCAAGGAAACCCAGAATAAGCACATTTATTCGTTGTTATTTTGCTTATTATACATTATCAAAAGAGCATTTTAAAATAACTGTTCTGATTTTTAAAAAGACGTTATAGTAGTTGTCAGTGTTCAGTAGCATAGTCTTATTCATTTAAAAAACAAACCGAAAAAAACCCAAAGCAGGACAAAACTAATTTTGTCAAGATCATACATATTATTAAATGTTGAACCTGGGCACGCTATTTACTTGTAAATGTACAACCTTTTGAAGTAAAAAAGAGAGTCGACTCCAAAGGTGTCAACTGAGTTGGGGTTTAGTTCTTGGAAAGGACAAGAGAGAAATCATGTACATACAGGTTTTGTTCAAAGAAACCATTAAAAAAAATTGCTCCACAGGTTTGGAGACGAAGGTTCCTATATCTTGGTTGGAGTCACTGTTGGTCTGGCCATTTACATAGCATCCGCGTTCTGCGACAAGTGGAAATGTTTTCAGATGTTCACTTCTGTATGCTCAGGGTACGGTTCGACCCAGACGTCGAAACGAGCGAGGAGATGGACAATGTAGTAAGATAATTTGCTTTGTTTTTCTTCATTTTATTTCTTTTAGTTTGGCCTCCACGCTTTGCCTGTTTTGTAAGTATGAGTTTAACCCCCCCCCCCCCCCCCCCCCCCCCGCCTCTTTCACTTTCGAGACAAATAGCTTGTTCTGAAGGCTCAATACAAAGGGGTTTTGGGCAAAAAGGGAACAGTAGTGAAAACAATCATTACACCACATCTATCTATCTATCTATCTGTCTGTCTATCTATCTATCTATCTATCTATCTATCTATCTATCTATCTATCTATCTATCTATCTATCTATCTATCTATCTATCTATCTATCTATCTATCTATCTATCTATCTATCTATCTGTCTATCTATCTATCCACCAGTAGTCTTTAGGTTTGTTGACATTGAGCCGATGTTGGCCTTTCGCTCTTTTCAACATCCAGTTTGTTGTATGCGGTGTCGACACTGGCCTTAGTGATCTACTTGGGGGTTGACATCATCACCAAGCACCACAGGAACGCTCAGGCAATCCTTGGCATCGCTACCATAGTGTTCATCTGCTTCTTATTTTCTCACAGCCCGAGCAAGGTGAGTATTTGCTGCAATGTTTGGCCAATCACATAACAGAATGTCGCATTGTGAAGAGAAAGTGAACTTTTCTAGATTAGAAGTGAAGGTGGAAAGAAAACGAAGATTTGGTACAAAGAGATTCCTCTCCTACATAAGAGAGAGAGAGATGACAGTCACCACATGAAGGTGAGTTACTTTCCTTAGTGGAGTTTCGAATTCTCTTTTCTCCTGTACCGTTCGGAGTACTATTGTTTTTAAAAATCGTAACTTTAGATAATATTCTAAATGGGACTAAAATGAAGCACAAGAGCATGGCAAAATAAGTCAATTAATAATGCTTGAGAACTAGAAAGACATAGAACCGGCATTGCTTTCGCTGAATTGAAGGCCTCCGTCTAACCATTGTGTTGTAACCCACGGGGCAGCCGTTACCTCTGATATGCATGGGCAAAGTAGCCCATGTAGGGGGTATAGGGTGGGGAGACGTCTTTAACGACAACGATCACAACAGCAACAACCACAGTAGAAGAGAGAGCCACATGCCTGTTGTAAAGAATGCCTGTTTTGTCAAGTCTTTTATATATGCTTAGTCTAACATTTAGATGCTTCTAATTAATATTACCGGGGGTCACAACGTCAGTAGAAAGACGGAGATACTTGAGAAGAAAGACTTCCCCATTCAGGAATGTTGCGTCCCTGACGCCAGACTCGGTTGAGACAATGAGACAACATGCACAGGGGTGAATAATGTGATCGGAGTCGCTCTTAAATCCATTTTTGGAAAACTTTACAGGTGAACTGGCACCCCGTGTTCTGGGGGCTGATCATCCAGTTCGTGTTTGCCAGTTTGGTCTTGCGGACAGAGGTCGGCTATAGCGCCTTCAAGTGGATGGGCAACGTTGTGAACACCGTGGTCAATCTCTCAGACAGGGGCTCCAAGTTTGTGCTCGGCGCTAGTTTCGAGACAAAAGGAGCTGGTTTCTTCTTCTCAGTGAGTTTTTTGCTCAGCCTTTACGGATTATACGATGCATAAGTAAACAACACAAGGAAATGAGTTGTTTACAGTTAAAAATTAACTTCCAAAATCGCTCTACGTTGTGTAATCTAGAACGTCATCAGGTAATGGATAAAAAAAATCATCATCATCATCATCATCATCATCATCATCATCATCATCATCATCATCATCATCATCATCATCATCATCATCATCATCATCATCATCAACATGTTTTAAAGTAGAAAAAATATATATACTTGAGACTTGGATAGGGTTGGTGTCGTTTTATCAGATGTTCGTATAAGCTTGGATGTTCAACGTTTCGCCAATAAGGCTTCATCAGGAACATAGTATCTGAGGAGAAAAAAAAATGAGTGATGACACCACAGTTAACAAAGCGTTGACTATAAGTTACGTATTGGTGCGATTTGGACAAAATCGGAAAGAGCCAAAGCTCGGAAAAAGAAAAGCTAAGTCGTTACTGCCATAGTCCTATAGTCCTGGCTGAGCGTATAGATACGTTAAAATTGGTCACACATAGTGTTGAAAGCTCACGCAGGACTGACTCAAACTAAATTTAGAAAAGCGGGGGTGGGGGTGGGGGGGGGGGGATGTACAATCAAGTGCAACAGCAAAAAGAAAGGGAAATCCAAAAGCAAAAGTCTCACCATGTCTCATCATGTTCTACAGTAAAAAAAAATAAAAAAATATATATATACTTGAGACTTGGATAGGGTTGGTATTCTTTAATCAGATGTTCGTATAGGCCTGTATGTTCAACATTTCGCCAATAAGGCTTCTTCAGGAACATAGTATCTGAGAAAAAAATGAGTGATTACGCCATAGCAACAAAGATGATCATCGATCATCATCATCATCATCATCACCATCATCATCATCATCATCATCATCATCATCATCATCATCATCATCATCATCAACTCACACCTACCAATTCCAGACTGCTGGAGTGATCGTCTTCTTCAACGCCATGATCTTTGTACTGGACTATGTGGGTGTCCTGGAGTTCATCGTCCTCCGTATAGGTGGCGCTCTGGCTTTTTGTCTGGGCACAGGGCCCGTGGAGTCTGTGGTCTCAGCTGCCAACATTTTCATAGGACTGGTAAGTCACCGTTTCATTCTTGCAGTATTTTAAGCAAAACATAGCATTATTGCCGATAGACTGCATTATTTGCTTTGGTAAGTGATGATTATTTACTTAATCGTCACAAGACTAGCAAACGTAAACAACGGTAGAATACCTTTATGCAGAGCTTTTATTTCGTCCAGTTCAGTAGTGACTTGAAAAAGAAAATGTAATAGCTACCCCAAAGGGATAAATTGATTGTCATTCATACTTTTTGTAGTTTTTTCCAACATCCAGATCTATATCGGGGGCTCTCGTGGCCTAGAGGTTAAGGTGTTGGCCTCTCATTCAAAAGGTCCCGGGTTCGAATCCGGGTAGCGACCGAAAAATTTTCTTCTCTAAATTTGTCTCCTTTCACCTCATTTCCTGCTCTCTAACAATGTTCTGTCGTCTGCTTTCGTCTCCTCTTTCTGCTCCACCCCCTCAAATCCTTTGCCCCTTCCTCTGGGCTCCTGATTCTTTCTGCAGCCTTTCTACTGCTACTCCTTCGCTTCTTCGTACTGCTGTCTTTCAGCCACACCCCTGATCTTCTGGTAGAAAAGATCTACACCTAGCCTTCTCGCACAAGGGCGAAAAATCTCGAAGGGCCCGTGTGCAAGTTGCGCACGTTAAAGATCCCTTGGTGGTCTGAAATCGATAAGAGTAGGCTTCGGCCGCCACCCGGGCAAAATTCAAGAATTTCCTACCAACTGAAAATATTAGGTGTGTCCCGTGCGCTCATATGACCTTATGCAGTAAAACACTTTACAAAAAAAGATCTATATCTTAGATAATATGTGACTGAAGTAGGTATCTAGTATTCCTCCTCTTGTATTTGCAGTGACAGGCGCAATACAGTAGTAAGTCTCCCTCCCTGTAATGAATTTTGTATACCGGTGCTTATCTGTTGCTTACTTGTTAACGTTATAATGTCTGAAATACAGTTGTAAAAAATACAGATTTAAAATTACATACAAAGAGCTCTTTTCTGTAACTGCCTTTTTAAAAAAGACTAGTGACTTATTTTTCTTTGGGGCACACCAATGGCTCAGTTGGTACCATACTGATCTAAGGTATGGTTCTTCCAAGTTCGATTACCAAGCGAATGTTATTGCTCTTCGTATTTATTGAGAGAGTTTTTAGGCCCTCTAAGCAGTTTGCTCCGTACTAACGGGGATGGAAGTTCTATTCGAATGAACCTCCTCTTAAACAACCTCACAGTGGTTATCGGTAGTGTAGAAAGTGATGTTTGGTCGACATCGTCAGCTACTGTGGTGAGGTGTATCCTTGATCTGACACAGTAGTCGTTAGACGTTGGAACCTGAGTAGGGTTACAATGTTTAATCACACTTCCCAGAATATTCCCTTTCACTGCTTTTTTTTGCTTTACGGCACTTCCAACACAATAAGGATATATTGTTACATTACCGAAGATTAGAGATGTTACTTGAGAGAACCAAACACAAAAAAGGAGTTAAGATCGTAAGTAAATATCATACACACAAAAAAGGAGGAGATAAGGTCAGTGTAATGGATTTTGATAGGAAAAAAGGAAAGAAGGAACAAACCACACCAGTGCGCCCGCTAACCACCCACCCCATTCCACTCCCTATGATTTATTCTCCTTATATATTTGCTGTCGTCTAGTCGGAGGCACCCCTGCTTGTCCGTCCCTACCTACACTCCGTGACCAGGTCGGAGCTACACGCCATCATGACCTGTGGCTTTGCCAGCATCTCCGGCGCCTTCATGGCCATGTTTATACAGGCTGGGGTGAGTGCTACGGATTGGTGCTGCTGCTGCTGCTGCTGTTGTTGTTGTGGTTGTTGTTGCTGTTGCTGCTGCTGCTGTTGATGATGATGCTACTGTTGCACTGGTGGTGGTGGTGGAGGTGATGGTGGTGATGGAGGTGATGGTGGTGATCGCTGTTTTTGTTAAGTATGTTTGGTTTTGATATTGTTATTGCTGCTGTTGTTGTTGCTTTTGTTGTTCTTTTGTTGTTCTTGTTTTTCTCCTCTTGTTGCTGCTGCTGATAATGATGATGATGATGACCATATTGTTGTTGTTGTTGTTGTTGTTGTTGTTGTTGTGTGTGTGGTAGCCTATCCGTCCAAAATGTCTGGAGTGCCGAAGAGCATTCTCTTCGCCAGGGCCACCGCCTCTCTTGGGTAGCGGGTGAGGCAGGCCAATCTCCCTGAATCCTCCGCAAAGAAATGCCACCGTCGGACCTCCGTTTAAGGCATCTCTGCAGCCAGTGCTCCAAATTTTGAGGCTCCTCGCTGCACAATGGACAGATTGGCTCAGATGTTTTGTCAATTCTATTTTTATGGGCCCGCAGCCCAGAGAAGAGACCGGTCTTGATTTTTGCCAGTAGTGACTGGTCACGGCGGGACTTAATTTGAGCCTCTCGTTTTGAGGAAATTGCCTTGTATATTTCCTTCGTTCGCGAGTGGGATGTCGGAGGGTTTTTTGTGATGAGTTTTATCTGGGCGCACGCACTTTCATATGTAATTTGGCGGCCTGGACCCGACAGCACTGTTGCCAGTTTGGCATTACTGTCAGCGAGATCGTTGTCGAGGATATCGCAGTGACCAGGGATTCACTGAATGGTTGTTTGGGACGTTGCATTATTTATGCGTAGTCGCATTTGGTCGAGGGATGGTGATGTTCTCACTAGTGCCATGCATAACGACCGAGCTGGATGTATCGCACTGTTTGTCAATCCAGCCAATGGCCATTCCCAATACTCTTCTCTCTTCTTCGAAAGAGCTCGTGAATATAGCGCTTTTCTCCCTCAGTGTCTCGACAGCGGTCGTTTGGACGGGTCCTCCGTTGTGATGACGACCCCAGCGCCGCCGTCCGTTGTTCCTGCACAAGCCGAACCGTCAGTGTAGATATCGTACTGTGCGCCAAGTTCTCGTGCTCGACAAACAGCAGCTCTTCGGATCTTCGCACTGGAGTCACTCCTTCCACTTATGCCGTACAGGTGGGGGGGGGGGGGGGGCGATGTCGGGGTTGATTCCCGGTTCAAACGGCCAGGTTTCGAAATAGGTTATGGTCCCCCTCTCGCAGTTGAACAGATGTGGGCTCTTTTTGCTGGCGTCTTCGTCTTGTTGTTGTTGTTGTTTAACATTTCAGTAGATTTAAATGAGTAAGCTACGTGATTTTAAAACTTTTATGGCCATTTTCGCATTATAGACAATAAAAAGATAATTGTAAACACACTGACCTCGACCTACATCTTTTGATTCTTTGGGTTGTTCATTTCTTTCTTTTTGTAGGCTCTATACAGTTCTGGTATATATTGAGACACTTGTTTAGAACTTGAGCAGACAAGATGGAAGAAGCACTAATTGCAGCGATGTAGAAGAGACCTGCACTTTTGATAAATCACAAGACAATTACTCAAACAAAAATAACGTCAACAAACAAAGGGTAGACATTGCTAAAGAAGTTGGAGTGGAAAGTAAAAATTAAAGTTTCATTGTTGCTTTTTAAATCACGAGGACGAAAGGAATGCGGAGTAAGTACGTTTGTGTAATCAACTCAAACTTTTCTTCCCTAAAACTGAGAGTTGAAAACAAGGGGATCGTGAAGCATGCGCGATTGTAGCGTTACGGGTCAGAACATCATGCACAGCTAAAAAACAATTGATGAATATTATCAAAGATGACGACCAGTAATCTTCAAAAATCTTTACTCCGGGCACCAGCTAGCTTTACACTAGCAAAAGTTACTATTTCCAAACTTCATTTTGTCTTTATCAAATCATTTTGATAATAAACGTCACTGTTTCTCTAAGGCGCCTGCCAGTCATTTGCTAACAGCCGCAGTCATCTCGGCACCTGCCGCCCTGGCCGTCAGCAAGCTGGTGTGTCCGGAGACCAGGGAAGTCGACTTGGACAGTCAAAGGAACGTCCGCATGAGAGACGAAAACTCGTGAGTTGAAATGTTTTTGTCCCTGATCGTCCCATGGGATCATTTAGGCGTGGGGGGGGGGGGGGGGGCGGAGACTGATTGCTTCAGCACTGCCTTACAGTGCTAAGAAAGATACAGCTTTTCAGCTTACAGACGGAGGGTGCTTGATATTTAAAACCCAACAACTAACACATCCTCATTCTTAATTGGCACTCATGTCTTCTGCGTGCAACAGCGGACTGCCTAATCATTTCTCCACTGTTGCCAGTCTTGTCGGGTCTACAGAAAACATTGCATCAATATCCAACAGTACTGGGCTTGAATTAACGTTGCCCCCTCCTTTAAGTTTTATTTGGCCTCTTGATAATACATGTGCACCAATAAACAGAGAATGAGAGAGCACGACTCCAATGGTCAACACTAATTTGTGTCTTAAATAAGAATTCAAACCTTGACCTACTCCCCCACGCCTCTCGAACATTATCATCTTCATTGATGAAGTAAAATTAAGTTTTGCTGGCGTTTTCACTCTAGCTATTGTTATCTTAAAAGTTATCACCCCCAAAAAACAGCAACAAACAAACAAACTAACCAACTAACAGACTAATAACTAACAAAAAAACGCCAACCCCACAGTACCAAAATGCCACTTTTGATTTTAGGTGATCAAGATGTGTTAAGTCATTGTATACAGCAAAGAATAAAAATGTTGAGATCTGGTAGGACTTTCAAAATATTTTATAGGTTGTTTTGTTGTGGGGTTTTTTTTTTTAGATCAAAAGAACAAATAAGAATTACAAATATCACTTTGCACAGTCAATTAATGTCACATAGAGAGTTTCACGCCACATAGAAAGTTCAAATATACAATATGACATTTTAGAGCACGATTATGCGTAACAAGTTCAAATATACAAATTAAATAGCAAATACAAATGTAATACAAAAGGAAGTTCAACTGCCACATAGCAAAAGCAAATATCCTTCACAAAGATTGTTCAGCGTGAGAAGCATTTTAGTGTGCTCTGAGTTGATGACAACCATAAGCAGTATCAGTTTAGGGTAAATTGATCATCATGAAAAAAAAAAAATCCGAGGATGCTCCAGCGGAAGGAAATTCTGATAAGACTAAAGCAACCAGGCATTAATATGCAGCATGGCTGATGACGAAGAGAAACTGAGGAAGAGCATGACGTGGTCAATGCCTCGTTTGAGTAGTGCAGAGCCGAAGCGAAACGAACCGCCCGATAACATTTGCTGTCAGTGCCGAAGGTGGCCTGGTCTTTCACGACTTTCAAGTTGAGGGAATTTCAGCTATTATTTCAACCCATCCTGTAAGAAACTGTTCCAACAATCTCCACAATAATGTAACAACCCTTGAGCACAAAGGCACCATTTAGATGGCAACCCATCAATAGATTGGGAGTGAAATATCTTTCCCCCATAACACCTTTTCTTAACATCTATGAGAACGCTTGTGAATTTGGAAATACGATTTGAAACAGAGGCTCCCTCCAGCAAGAGACTAATAAATACTCACTCAGCAGAACTCATCGATAAAGGATTGTAACGCTTGCCTAGCTGATGGAATAAAATACCCAAGCCGTTACTATAGTGAAAATGGCAGCAGTCTCCAGATCAATGCAAGCCTATTACACGTATATGCCACAGTTTTGTAGTGCAACATTATTTTCTGTTCAAATGTACAAATTATAAGAAATACAAATACCATATTGCAAGTTCAAATGTCACATAGAAAGTTTCACGCCACATAGAAAGCTCAAATGCACAAGAGCAAATTTTAGGGCACGATTGTGCGTAACAAGTTCAAATGTACAAATAGCAAATCCAAATATAATACAATTGGAAGCTCAAATTCAAATGCCACATAGCAAAAGCAAATATCCTCAGCAAAGTTTATTCAGTGCTCATATGACCTTATGCAGTTGCGAGCGCAGTAATAATAATGGATTGCATTTATATAGCGCAAATCCACTTATGCAATGCTCTATGTGCTTAACATGATACATATTATGGATTTACAAATACATTTTAAATGCACATTGTGTTACATACACGTGCTCACACATATTCACGCACGCACGCACCACACACACACATACTCACATACGTACACACATACACACATAAGTACACACATACACACATACGTACATAATATGCACATACGCACATACAAACTCACAACGATCTACAGCTTGGATGGATTCTGTCTAATCGAAATATGATGAAAATAGAAATGCTTTTAGTTTCTTTAAAATTTCTAGATTTTCTGCTTCTCTTGTAGTTTTTGGAAGCCTATTCCAAACAAGTGGGGCAAAATATGAAAAAGAGCGTTGGCCATATGATTTGTAATCTATTTTAGGCTTAACAAGGGTTGTTTTGTCACTTGATGATCTGAGCGTTCTAGGAAGCTCATAGGGTGTTAAAAACTGTTTTAGATAGTTCGGGGATAAATCATGTAAGCACTTGTAGCAAGTTAAACAGATTTTATATATGATACGCTCTTTCACTGGGAGCCAGTGTAATTCTTTTAAAATAAGAGTCACATGATCATGTTTTAGTTTCCTAGTAATTATTTTGGCAACAATATTTTGTACTCTTTGTAGTTGTTGTAACTGTTTATCAGGTACACCAGCCGGTAAGGAATTGCAATAATCAATCCTTGACAATATAAGTGATGTTATTAAAGTTTTGGTGACACCAACAGATAGATATTTTCTAATGTTCCCTATTTTCTTCAGTTAGATATATAGATTTTTACAAAGATTGGATACATGGGATTTCATTGACATATCTTGATCTAGCACTACACCTAAATTTTTTATTTTACTTTGGGCTGATATTTCGTGGCCATTGATGTTTATGCTGATATTGTCGATTTCATTGCATGCGCTGCTACGAAGAAATAATATCCTCATTTAATTTTAATTTGTTCTTGAGCATCCATTTTCTTATATCATTGATACATCTGGCGATTCTATCTATGAGATTGTGAACATTGTCAGTTGTAGTGAATCCATACAGCTGTGTATCGTCTGCATAAAGATGGTAATTGAGGGCATATAAAGAAATTATAGATGACAGACTTTGCGTGTACATTGTAAAGATGACAGGACCAAGGACCAAACCCTGAAGAACACCGTGCTTTAGAGGAAACCTATCATACACATCATTACCAATTTTCACTGACATAAATCTATTTTCTAGATATGATTCAAACCACATTAGAACAGTACCTGAGAGTAAATATGACTTTTCCAATCTCTCTAGTAAAATTTCGTGGTCGATGGAATCGAACGCCGCTGACAAATCAAGTAGAACCAAAACACAAACTTTTTTTACTATCGATTTCATTCAAAACATCTTATGACACCTTTAAAAGAGCGGTTTCCGTACTGTGGTGCCTTTTATAAGCAAATTGAAAAGGTTATTCAATGTCATTGGCCTTTAGATGTTGTTGAACTTGACACAAAACGATTTTATCCAGGATTTTTCATAAAAAGTTAAGATTGGAAACTGGCTTAAAACTTCTCATGTCGTTTTCATCAAGACCTTGTTTTTTAAGTAAAGATTTTACAACCCTCTAATATAAAAAAAGGCGTCAGAAGCATTTTAATGTGCCCAAACTGACTTGATTGATGATCAGAAGGCTGCTGTCATATTGACTCTTGTCACAGCTAGGTTTGTTTGTTTTTGTTCCATCAACTGGGCAAGTGGGACCATCCTTTGTTGATGAATCTGTTGAGTAAGCATTTGGTCTCTTGCTTTTCTTGATCTCGTAGATGTTAATTCATCCAAAACTGATACTGCTTATGGTTGTCTTCAACTCAATTTGAGCACTTTAAAAATGCTTTATCATATTAGTTGTATGGTTAGGCAATCGGACCTGAAACCGTGTGATTGCGTGTTCAGGGGTTCGAGCCTCCGTATAGTCAGGCGTTGTGTCCTTGGAAAAGACACTTTACACGAATTTCCCGTTTGTCTCGGTCCTTTCGGAGATATACGTTAATGTCGGAGGTCCCGCCTCTTAAATTCTTAAATAACCTAATAGTGTGTGTGGGGAGGGGGGGATACGATTTGAAATAGATGTTCTCTGAAGCAAGAGACTAAATGCTTACTCAGCAGACTCATCAACAAAGGATGGTAACAATTGCCCAGTTGATGGAACAAACAAACAAAAACCCCAAGCGTGACTATAGTGAGCATGGCAGAAGCCTTCAGATCAATGCAAGCCTATAAATGCCACAGCGTTTTGTAGAGTTTAGATCTAAAGATGTGTTGTTTTTTTCGGGTTAAAAATTACAATTAGTTTCGTTTCACGTGATTTATTCCTTGTTGCACGACGGGGCTTATATCTAACTTTTTCCTGGCACCCCCCCCCCCCCCCAAAAAAAAAAAAAAAAAAAAAAAACTAACCCTTTTACTTCTTACCTTGATACACTTCGTATACTTTTAGCCTCTATTTTTTCTCCATTTCAAGCATATTTACATTTGAAATTGCTATGTGGCATTTGATTTTGGTATGTGTTACACCTGAGATTTCAATGTTTACATTTGAAGTGGTTAGAATTAAAAGGTGCTAAGTGTCATTTTTTGAAGAAAAAAAATTATGGTGTCATCATAATCCTTGACTCTAAATCTATCGAATACGCTACTCAGGTCACTAGAAACTGCTCAAATAAGCCAGAATGACACGATTTTATCACCCTATTTCAGATGTGAATTGTGGTTAACTTCAAGCAAAGGAGTTGCCTCAAGTCTAATTCGCTCTGTAGACAACTAACACCATGAACGTGTGATTCCTTGTTCCATGAATAATGGAGTTGACCCCCTTCTATTACTGCGTCTCGCCTGTATGTTGTGCCTATCTTGACCCTATGTTTCTCTGAATCTTTTCTCCAATGTTGAATTTGACCCCTCGAGAATATTTTATCGTTATTTATATGTACATAGAGGGCACTTAAGATGAACAAACGTAAAATAATGTATAAATCTGA